AATAATTAATGGCTAAGTCAATTCCTGCATTGCTCACCCCTGCCCTCCCCCCGGTCAGCTCCTTGTATACCTGCACTGAAGGATGGGATTTCAAGTCTTACTGCATATATGCACATTTGTTGTATAGACAGGGCAGATTTACAGATTTGTGTATAGAAGGCAAACCAAAGAATCTTGTAATGCTTTGTTTGAGAATAAACAATAAATTGTTCATTATTTTGTAATCAGACCAGAGGTGTTTAAGCATTACAGATGCTCAACCAGGCATTAATTGACAAATGACATAGGAAATACTCCACCAAACAGTGTATGCTCTTTGTTTTTTATTACATTTTCTAAGAATATCGAGGCTGAAATTTGTGAAATTTTAAGAATATTTTACAGTGCGACTACTCTGAACCAAGACCACACAAAACAGCACTAGCTGTACTTTTGATACTAATGACATTTCTTTATATCAGGCTTTAATGCCTGCAGGCTGGCTCCAAAATTATTTTAACACCATCCAAACACCAATTATATTCAAAAACAGAAATGTTATGTGCTATAATCTGGCTCAGAATAATATTTACAGTAATATTTTCTGCCTAAAATTGGCAGAAAAATAAGNAAATTTATCAGAGGGAAATAAATAATTAATGGCTAAGTCAATTCCTGCATTGCTCACCCCTGCCCTACCCCCGGTCAGCTCCTTGTATACATGCACTGAAGGATGGGATTTCAAGTCTTAATGCATATATGCACATTTGTTGTATAGACAGGGCAGATTTACAGATTTGTGTATAGAAGGCAAACCAAAGAATCTTGTAATGCTTTGTTTGAGAATAATCAATAAATTGTTCATTATTTTGTAATCAGACCAGAGGTGTTTAAGCATTACAGATGCTCAACCAGGCATAAATTGACAAATGACATAGGAAATACTCCACAATTTTCTGATCGCACCAAACAGTGTATGCTCTTTGTTTTTTATTACATTTTCTAAGAATATCGAAGCTGAAATTTGTGAAATTTTAAGAATATTTTACAGTGCGAGTACTCTGAACGAAGACCACACAAAACAGCACTAGCTGTACTTTTGATACTAATGACATTTCTTTATATCAGGTTTTAATGCCTGCAGGCTGGCTCCAAAATTATTTTAACACCATCCAAACACCAATTATATTCAAAAACAGAAATGTCATGCACTATAATCTGGCTCAGAATAATATTTACAGTAATATTTTCAGCCTAAAATTGGCAGAAAAATAAGAATATCGAGTCTCAGCTGGGAAAACAGCATGGGCACAAAAACTACAGTGCCTTAAACACTGTGTTCAAATAAACCAAGCACAAAAATTTCGTTAATTTAAGCATTGGCTGTTTTCCATTTTTTATTATTAATTTATAAGGCATAAAAGTTTCTAGCAATTAAATGACTTAAATTAATCCTTAGAAGCAAAGATAGGTACATTTACTGTGTGCATATCTCTGTTTGAATACTAGTGTGGGAATGTCTGCACATTGTGTCAGACAAATCTTTCTGGAAATTTTAAGAGGACAATGATTGTGACCTCTCACGTGAAACCTAAATTTTGTTTTCCAGATGAGATTTAAACTCAAGTGGATCAGAAACTTGGCAATTAGGGTTTACATGCTGCAGTTATCCAGGTAAACTGATGAATTACAGTGATTTACAATTATATTACTCTTGATTAATCCAGTAATTACTACTTAGTAGTATTCTTATATTTGTAACAGTTATGCCATTTTTTAGTGTTTTTTTTATGACCTGCAAAACTCTTCACTCAAAATCATTAATCCACTCATACATTTTTTCAGCAAAATTTGCATTACTCAAAATGTTTTACATTTTAATTAAAATATCTTTCAATTAGTGGCAAGAAAGATGTCCATCCTTGGAATTCTTTCTTATAAGTGCTAATTTACAAGCCCTTGAAATGTGACAAATTGTCTTCTCTTGCCAGTACAAAAGTCGTCTGTCATGGTAACCTTGAAATTGTACTAAATTCCTCCTTTGCACTCCATAATTTCAAATTTGCATTGAATAAACTAGAAATTGGGCCTTAATCCATTTAGAGTGCCACTAACCCCAAAATTTTTTTCCCTTTAGTAAAATCTACTAGTTTGCCTGATTACTTCAGTGAAACAAATATCTCAATATTATTGATAAAATCCCTGCATTTCTACAAGCATTTGAACAAGTAATTTCTATGTTCATGACTGCGCAAAGTGGGATCTGGGTCAAGCTACTAGTGACGTCACTTCGGGAACCAGGCTAAAACACTCAAGAGACTTTTGGCTGAACTTTGAGGGCTGTCAAAACATTTTTGGTTTATTTGTGATTCATATTTTATCAAAACTGGACAAGATTTTTAAGTGAAAGAACTCTATCATCTAGAATTACAATTCGGAGTCTAGCTACGATTTGGACG